GCAGGCTCCCTCTGGGGAGCCCGATGCAGGACTCGATCCCAGGACCCCGGGGTCATGACCAGAGCCAAAGGCAGATGCTCAACCGCTGAGCCACCCGGGTGCCCCTTATTGTTCATTTTAAAATGTCCTGGAAAGAGGATGGCTGGGGGGTGTTGCTGGAATGGAACGTCAGAGCCCGTGTGGTCCACGGCAAACCTCTCGATGCGATAAAGTAGAGCATCGACCCACCTTGTTTCCCGTATTTTTCATCTTTCCCTGTGCAAACAGGATTAACTTCATAGATGTTCTGATCATAATTAGGTGTAATGGATTTTACCTTTTAAACTGAGTCTCGGGGCGCCCGAGTGGCTCAGTCGGTTAAGCTTCCGACTCTTGATTCTGGCTCAGGTCATGATCTCAGGGTCATGAGACTGAGCCCCACGTCAGGCTCCGTGCTCATCACGGAGTCTGCTGGAGATTCTCTCTCTCCATCTGCCCCTCCCCCTGCTCATGCCCTCTACACAGACAATAAATACAATCTTAAAAAAACTGAGCCTCTACTCCAGAGTAGACACAATCGTTTACATCAGCTTGGCGCTGTCTGCAAGAATATTTACAGAGGCTGAGTCTAGATAGCAGCGTTGGGAGCTTTGAAGAAGGGGGCTTTACTGCCCTTTCATTTTGGACTTCTTTCTCCAGGATTGTTATAAAGCTTGGTTACGGGGAGAGCGATTCAGTGACATCAGCCCTTTAGATGCATTTTCATGGCTGCGTTCCTAGTTCTTTTGGGGACAGGAGTAATTAAATTATTTCCAGGTCTCTGGAGTGTTCCAAGAGGAGAAGGAGCTGAGGCAGCCATATGAGAAGCTGGCTCGAAAAGGAACGTGGAAATGCAGTGAGATTTCAAGATATTACAGGCCTTTCCCTGGCGACCATTAGCGAAATTCAGGACTCCCTAGGCCTGGCCTTCTTTGCCCCCAGGTCTAAACAAAGGAAAACTGTTTCAAGATAAGACCTATTTGCATAAATATGTGACTATTTGAGCTTTGGTCTTGAAGCTGGAGAAAGCACAGGAAGGTGAATGAGGCCTCCCCCACCCTTCACTGATCTGCCTGCGCAGGTTATGGTGACGGTGACGGGTGCTTGTCTTCGCATTCCCATGATGCTTCCCTCCTGGCCTTCTCTCTTGATCCGAGGGTGTGGGCCAGGTCTCCACCTTAGGGGCCCTCACTCCATGAAGTCCATTCTCCGTAAACGCTGTCTTCTGTAGAGAGGAGGGGGATTTATCTGGAATACGCACAGTTCAGCTTTCTGTTGGCACGATTTTGAAATGGGTTATGTAGCTGCAGACTTGTCTGCTCACTTTGGAAGAAAGTGCATAAAGCAGGTGGGTTCATGGCTGGCTGTCTTCATGGGAGCCCTTTCTTATGCTCCCAGATGCTGGCTTTGTGGGGTCCTGCCCTGGGGCCACACATTCACGTCTGTTCTCAGAGAAGTGCTCAGTCCTACTGCAGATACTAGATCTTGTTTCTGCTTAACTTTAAAAATCCGGCCTCGGTATCAGAGTAGATCAGCAGGGAGCCCGAGCACTGAGGATTGAATAGCCCCTACTTCACCAGCTCAGTGTGATCGGGATGCTCTGAGGAGCTCACTGGAAAACCTCGGAAGGGACCCTCATAAACAGGTGTGTTTTGGAAAGGGGGTGACTCTGGGTCAAGGTCAGGGTCTCTATCCGTTCATCGTACTTAGGCCGATGTCAGCCCCTTGGGAAGGCGGGCCAGCGGAAAGGGTCTGCTGAGCCTTGCATCGGGTGCCTCTGCTGCCCTAGGAGGGGGTCCCCTGTGTGGTGGTGACGGCTCGCCACCATTTACCAGGGTTGAGAGAATTTAATCTCCCTCGTGGATAACACCTTAATGCACTAAAAGAAGATTACTTATTTTTAAAGCCTTTCCATTTTGTTCTTGTCCATTTGGCAGATGAAGCATTATTATTCCCAGGGTGGCCAGGGCGGGGGCCAGCCTGGACGAGGATTGGGCCCCCAGTTGTCATCCCTCCAGTGGGGCTCCCAGCAACAGCCTTGGCAGGGTTTCATTGGGCCGTGCTGTAACGTTAGGGCAGGTGGTAGTTAACCTTTCCTGGAGTGCTGCAGGAGACCAAGGAACAGGTGGTCTGTGTGACAGGCTTTATGTAGGGGGTCGGGACCCCTAGGGCCGGGAAGACCCTCCAGCGGGTCTCGGGGAGAGGACATTGGGACCCATAGATGCTCCGTTTTTACTGTTGCACTTAGACTTTCTCGATGTGACTTGAACGGGAGTTGTGACCTTCGGGAGTCTCGGGTTCTACAAGTTTTAAAGTCTTTTAAGTCAAAATCTGCTTGTTTGTTTATTTGCTCTTAGTCAAGTGCTTAGTCTAACTGCACATTCCAGGGGTGGGGTAGGAGGGAAGCTTTTTGTGGAGCTCGATATAAAGGACAACCAACTCCTCCTTGCTCAAGAACACTGCTGAAGCCGTGGGACTTTTTTTTTTTTTTTTGAAGCCGTGGGATTTTATTGGTAAAAATTAAGTAGCTCAGCAGGGAAGGTTCCGAAGACGAACCAGAACTAAAGGGGTCATCCTCCGCTGCTTCACTCGGGCCTGCGCAGCCAAGCCTTGGACAGCGAACGTTCTCCGTGTCCTGTCGTTTGTGTTTGTAGCTCGTCTGGCACGAAAATATGTTCCTCCAGAAAGGGTTGTTTATGGAGCATTTATTTTTAAAATGAATAGACGACATTTCTTATACAAACATTTTTTTTTTTTGTTCCAACCTTTTGTGAACTCGGGAAAGGCAATAACATGAAGATATGTAAACGCATGCACGTAGCTCAGGCTTCTGCGAGCGCCCTTGCCAGGACGGGTGAGGCCAGCGTGGTGCAGTGTCTGCCGGTGTGCAGAGAAGGCGACACTTTTTCTCCTGTGCCAGTGAGGCATCCCACGGTGGATGCTGGAAACGGACCCTGCCCCCCCCCACCATGCTGGGGGCCCGCAGCATCTGGGTCAGGTCTTCCCGGGGGTGGTGGGTGTGCAGATGGGCCCGGGGTGCAGAGGCTCTGGCCGCGGGGCCGTTGGGGGCGGGGAGGACGGAGTTAGCTGGGGATGAGAAAGAGGAAGGGGGCAGATGTCCTAGCCTGAACTTGGAGGAATGGCAGGCCCGACAAAAGAACTATTTGGATCATCTTTCCACTTGGTCTTTTATTTTAGATTCTGATAAATCCACCAGAGAATTAAAGAATGTTCTTTTCCTACCCAAGTGACAGCCGGCAGTGTTCCCCGGGGGGTCCCTTCTGTCTTAGGCTTCGCCTCATGATGACTTGGCTCTGGCCAGGCACACTGGCCACCTGCTGGCCACCCGCCAGCCCCACACCCTAGTACCCTTCCAGCCTGAGCGCACCTGGCACCTGGCTCATTGTCGTCCCCGGGGGCTTGCTCGGCCTCCTGCCAGGGCAGGGGTGACCCCTCATTCTACAAGATGCTCTCCTACAGACGGATTCTGTGGCAGAAACTTGATATTCCTCTGTTCGGCAACAGCTCTCTCTAAAACGCTTTGTGATTTTTATCGGGAATATGGTCTGGTTTTATTCCTGGTGTAATTACTTGCCTTGGTCGTACAGGTCCTTAAGCGAACTCACTTTATAATGCTATTTTTGTTCAGGCTGTGTAATTTCCTAAATGTTTTAATATTTGATATGTTCTCTGAATTATCCCCACATCTTCGGAAACCGCAGTGGGCTGAAAATTATATAGATGGAAACGACCTATTGTGTCCCGCGTGTATCATTATTTTTTATTTTATTTATTTGTTTGTTTGTTTATTAAAAGATTTTATTTTTTTTTTATACATGAGAGACACAGAGAGGCACAGACACAGGCAGAGGGAGAAGCAGGCTCCACGCAGGGAGCCCGACGTGAGGCTTGATCCCGGGTCTCCAGGATCACACCCTGGGCTGAAGGCGGCGCTAAACCACTGAGCCACCCAGGCTGCCGCTACCGCGTATATTTTTAATTTTTTTTTTTTTTTTGCTTATAAAAATCTATCACTTGTTTTCTTTCTAAGGCTCTTTTTTTTTTTTTAAAGATTTTATTTATTTATTCATGACAGACACATAGAGAGAGGGGCAGAGACACAGGGAGAGGGAGAAGCAGGCTCCATGTGGGGACCCGATGCAGAACTCGATCCCAGGACCCCGGGGTCAAGCCCTGGGCCCAAGGCAGATGCTCAACCACTGAGTCACCCAGGTGTCCCTCTAAAGCTCATTTTTAGAGAGAGGAGATGCTAATGACTCTCACTCCCTACGAAGGTGGACATATCTGGGGAATTTTAAATCCGCTGGTTGGAGGACGCCTGGGTGGCTCAGGGCGTGACCCCGGGGTCCTGGGATCGAGTCCCGCATCGGGCTCCCTGCATGGAGCCTGCTTCTTCCTCTGCCTGGGTCTCTGCCTCTCCTGTGTCTCTCATGAATAAATAAAATAAAAAAAAATAAATCCGCTGGTGGGGAGAACTAGAACCCAGTATCCTGCAAAAACTCTTTATGTGGAAAGAATATAACAGCTAGATTGGGGCAACACAGAGTTTAGCTCTTTTTTTTTTAATTTTTTTTAAAGATTTTATTTATTTATAGAGATGCAGAGAGAGAGAGAGAGGCAGAGACACAGGCAGAGGGAGAAGCAGGCTCCATGCAGAGAGCCCAACGCGGGACTCGATCCCAGGACTCCAGGATCATGCCGTGGGCTGCAGGCGGCGCTAAACCACTGCGCCACCGGGGCTGCCCTAGAGTTTAGCTCTTGAGAAATGCATCAGAGGGAGACAAGCTTTGGAACATTGTTTCCAGAAGATCTGCGGATCTGGGTGTTTATCAAGTTTGGAGCGCTAAAGTCTCGTCCTGGCTAACCGTTAAGGTCCCGATGGTTTTGGGCAGTGAAACAAAGGGGGTAGGCGGCATGAATTCTTTGTTCCTTCTCTCATATCTCGTGCCTCCTCCATCCAGATCGTGTCTTGTCACGTGGTGGGTGAGGCCATTCAGTTCCTGGTCGGCGCGGGGCCCGCGTCCCCTGAAGACACGGGGCGCCAGCTGTATGGCGCGCGGCTCTCCCCATTTCATCTGCAGGTGAGTTTGCGCAGACGGTGCTCGTCAACCTGCAGGGCAAGCCTGGCGTGATCGCCGGCCGGGACTCCCCCTGCTTTCGCGCTTGCTAATGGTTTATTTCATAATTTTCCACCTGTAACCTTCTGTATCATGTTGTATCTGTAGGAGATAAAGTGTGCGTGGTGTGTGGTGTGTTACGTGTTATGTACGTGCACATACTGTGTACGCTTCCACACACACATGCATACACACCCACACCTACGTATATGCATACGACTACATATGGGTGCGCATAGTGAATTCAGAGGTTGCCCATTTACCAAAATCAGGAGATACGGGATTTTTCAAGGTGTTCAAACAGACCAGGGGTGTTGCCGGCAGGCAGAGTAAGGTGCGTGGCATCGGAGGCGAGGACGGGGTTCTGTCTTGGGACCTCGTGCCAGGCCCCAGCAGTCCCCTGCAGCGGGAGACCAGCCTAGGGGCCAGGGGTCGTGTTACTCTTTTTAGTTTTTGGAGAAAGTCAACCTTGGAAGACTCGTACTACGTTTTATAAGCCTAAAAGATGAGTATTACTATCGTATTTTTCATAACACACTTACTATTACGGTAATAAGAGACTCCTACCGGCACACCTTGTTTCACTTCACTTTGGAGATGAGGCTTTTTTTTAAGAGCACGTCTGCGGGTGCCACTCCAGCTGCCTTTGCGTGCTGAGTCTCTGTGTCACATTGCGGTGATCCAGGTGCATATCCTCCTTTTTCCTTATTATATTTGTCACGGTGATCTGTGGTCAGTGATGACGACTTGCTGGAAGCTCACGTGATGGTCACCATTTTTTTTTCTTAAAGATTTTATTTATTTATTCACGAGAGACCCAGAGAGAGAGAGAGAGAGAGAGAGAGAGAGAGAGAGGCAGAGACACAGGCAGAGGGAGAAACAGGCTCCCTGCGGGGAGCCCGACGTGGGACTCGATCCCGGGACCCCGGGGTCACAATCTGAGCCAAAGGCAGATGCTGAGCCGCTGAGCCACCCAGGCGCCCCTAAATATAACTTCTATGCACCGGGGAAGCCAAAAAATGCACTTGGCTTGCTTTATTGTGGTACTTGCTATATTGCAGTGGCCTGGAAGCAGACCTGCAGCCTCTCCGAGGTGTGCTTGTGTATATTTTACAGAATTTTTTTTTTATTTATGATAGTCACAGAGAGAGAGAGAGAGGCAGAGACACAGGCAGAGGGAGAAGCAGGCTCCATGGAGCCTGACGTGGGATTCGATCCCGGGTCTCCAGGATCGCGCCCTGGGCCAAAGGCAGGCGCCAAACCGCTGTGCCACCCAGGGGTCCCTATTTTACAGAATATTCATAACGATCTATCTAGTAATTATATAGAGTCATATGTGATCACCATAAGAGGTGTATTCATGGAATTTCTGGATGCCCGAAGCATCAGATAACCGTGTGACTATTGTGAATTTCTGGGTCTGTTTGAGGGGTCACTGCCGATTCAACCCCGTGTTTCCTCCCCTCCGTCCCGGGGCTTGGCTGCTAATTTGGGGGATGAGCCCAAGTCGTACAGCTCCCTCGACCACAAGGGAGGATGATATCCTGTATGCTTTTCTTACACAGATGTGGTTTTGAATAACCGGAGCAAACAAGATTTTCTGGCTCCCTACATAGCCTTTTTCTCTTTCTGTCCTTCTTTCTTTCTTTTTTTTTTCTTTAAGATTTTTTATATTTATTCATGAGAGACACACAGAGAGGCAGAGACCCAGGCAGAGGGAGAAGCAGGCTCCATGCAGGGAGCCCCATGTGGGACTTGATCCCAGGATCCCGGGGTCACACCCTGAGCCAAAGGCAGATGCTCAACCGCTGAGCCACTGGGCACCTATCTACCCGGCCTCCTTCTGAGGGCCAGCCCTCCCCGGCCTCCCCGCTAGCACGTCCTTTCTGAGAGTTCAGGAGAATGAGTGTGACTTCATGTCACACCTGCCAGGTGCTAACACCCTCCCGCTCGCCCTAAAACTTTGGACAATGTAACTGGAAAACCAGCCCAAAGCCTGGGACACATGTAGCCGACACCAGACGCCTGGTTCGGGATAGAGCGAGTCCAGCCAGGCCCGTAGGGCCGCCGTGAAGGACGTGGGGTTTCTGAGATGCTGCTCGCGTGCCATTTCATGCAGCTCGGCAGAAGTAACCCAGTCGTGTCTCTGATCTCTTAACCCAGTTGACACCTGCTCTCAGGGCAGAGGCAGCTGCTGGAGATCGATCGGTCAGTGATGAACGCCCCAGACAGAAGATGCTCCTGCTGCTCTGCTGGCCTTTAGATTAAAGGTGCAGAAAGGGGCTGCGGTGGTCTCACACCCGCCCCCCCTGGACCCCTACCTGCTGGGGAGAGGGACAGACCTGCAGCAACATGATCAAAGTGCACCTTCCCTGGAATTACCAGGATTGCTGGTGTTGGGTGAGGGTCCTGAGTAGTGGGCAGTGCCGTCTAAAGCTGCCCTCTCCTCCTCTGCGGAGGGTCCGGAAGGCACCATGAGGCGAAGAGCTAGGATCTGTGCTTTAGAAAGAGGCTCCGGTTGAAAGATGAAGGAAGGTGTATTAGTTTGCTGTGGCTGCTGAAACAAATCACCACAAACCTAAGCTTAAGACCCAAATATAGGGGCGCCTGGGTGGGTGGCCCAGTTGGTGGAGTGTCTGACTCCTGGTTTTGGCTCAGGTCGTGATCTCGGGCTCATGAGATCGAGCCCTGGGTTGGGCTTTGCGCTCAGCACAGATGGTTTCTCTCTGCTGCCCCCTGACCCCACTCATCATCCTCTTTCAAAAATAAATAAATCTTAAAAAAAAAAAAAAGAAAGAAAGAAAGAAAAGAAAAACCAGCATAGGGGCACCTGGGTGGCTCAGTCGGCGAAGCATCTGCCTTCTGCTCAGGTCACGATCTTGGGGTCCTGGGATCGAGCCCCGTGTTGGGCCCCCTGCTCAGTGAGGAGCCTGCCTCCCTCTCTCCCCCTGCTCATGCTCTCTCAAATAAATAAAATAAATAAAGTCTTAAAAAAAAAACCCAGCATAAATGTATTATGTTGCCGTTCTGGGGGTCTGATGTCCAGCTCGGGCTGGCATCGGCGGGCCGCCTTCCTGTCTGGAGCCCTGCGAGGATCTGCTTCCGTGCTCACTGGGTGTTGGCAGGATTGTGTTCCTGGCGGCTGTAAGGCCGATTTTCTCACCAGCTGTCCGCTCAGGGCCGGTGGCAGCTTCTAGAGGCCACCTCTTTCCTGCGCTCTTGGCATCCTCTATCTATAAGGCACCTCTCGCTGGCCTGCCCCCCTCCTTCGTCCTGAGGGCTCCTCTGATTGGTTCCACTGGGCTCGCTGGGATAACCCAGCATTCTCTCTCCATTCACGGGCCTTGCCCTGGTCACTCCTGCAAAGTCCCCTTTGCTATATCTGGTCACATACCTGCAGGTTCCAAGACTCTGGGTGTGGACATCTTTGGGGGGGGGGGAACGTGACGCTACGACGGGTTGTTGCAAGAGATCAGAGTCCAGATAGAGGGTGTGCGTGTTGGCCCAGGCAAGAGGGGGTGAGAACACCCGTGTGCTGTGTGCACAGCCCTTGGGGAACGTGTGAGCATGGGGCTGGGCTAAGCATCCCACGTCCCGTCCGTGCCCTCCTCTCCCGCGTGCCTTGGTGACACTCCAGGAGAGCATGCAAAGCACAGAGCATTACTCACCTGAGAGACTACAGAGTTCTAATGACGTGTGGCCCGTTCGGCCGCCACTGCTGAGAATCATCTAGGAGTGATAGGTTGAGGCCGAGGAAGACGCTGGGGGGCTGAGGGGTGGGGTGAAGGGGAGGTCCAGGGGGGTTAGAGCTTTCTTTAGCATTTGGAAAGGCAAGGGGAGGCCAAGCAGGTGTCTGGGGAAGTAAATGAACACACGCACACACAGGTGCACACAGACTGGTGCCCCGATGCGTTGGGCCTTTGCTGGCAGGTGGGGCTCTCCAGTAACTCTGTGTTCTGCTAGCTGGAGCTCCACATGAAAGAGAAGAAGGAGGACATCCAGATCAAGTGGTCCTTCATCCACGCTGCGGAAACGGCCGTCACCGTCCAGTCCAGAGCCCCGGTGCAGGTCAGTGCCTCCGTTGTGAGGACCGCCCCCCCCCCCCCCCCACTACAGGTGTGCATGGGAACACTTGCATGTCGCCACCACCTGCCGAACAGAGGCTCAGACCAGCGCCCTTGTGCCGTGCAGGCTTCTCCTCTCCTCCCAGAGCATGGGGCCGCCCGGTCAGGGCAGCAGGGGTGATGGCCTTACTGGACCTGATGCTCGGGGTCCTGACCCAGCTGCACCTGCAGTCAGCTGGGAGCTGCAGGGAATCCTGGGCCTGCCCCCCGCACCCCATCATCCCCCTCATGGGGTTCCTTGGGCCTGGAATAGTTTCTGGCGCTCCCGTGCAGCCGAGGTGGAGAAGCACTGGCGTCATGTCTGTCACCTGGGGGATGCCTGGACTGGGTCGCCTGCCTGATTCAGCAGACCCTCCTTCCTGCCCTGAGGCTCTCCGCTCAGGGCTCAGGCTCAGTTGTGGCCCCCGGCCGGCTCCCAGGGGCAGGCGTCTGTCCCCGCGGTTTTTGCAGAGGTGCATTTAAGGTCGGAAGGCAATCTCCCTGCTGCCCAGGGTCTTAGGTGTTTGAAGAAATGAATCTGGAAGCAGGGGGTGGGCACACGACGTCATACTGGGGTCCCTTGCGGTGGCTGGAAGGACCATGACAATCATGTGCACCAAAGGCTCATTAGGAGGTGAGGTCATTCCTCTGCAGGGTTTTGATGATCGTCGTTTGCAGTCTCGCCCCGTTTCACCCTCTGGTTCAAGCCCTGAGAGATCCCCAACAGCATTAAGTGAATTTGATCCTTCGTTCCTATGCGGTTTTACCTTTCAGGACTTGATACAAATGCGTGCAGGTGTTTTTTAATTAATTAATTTATTTTTAAGACAGGTAAGCTTGAATTGCTGCTCCTCTGAGGGGCACCCATTGGAACTGTCACTTTTCCCAGCCGTCGGGGTTACAGCCGGCATGCAGACCGTGTCCCTGGAGGCCCGCTTCCTGCCCTGTCCCCCTTCCTTCCCACGTTTGCATCTGTCTCCTTGGCCCCACTGGCGGAGTGGCTGGGCCCACCTGTGTGCAGAGGGGTCCCCTGGCCGGCTGTCCCAGCACCACCACGGCCATGCACCTGCCCTGGCGTCCGAATTCAAGCCCTTTGAGGAGGGCAGACCTCTGTTCGGGGCCCCTCCAGTCAACCCCATCCTTGTGTGGCCACGTGACCAGCGTGGTGGAAGTTGAGGGCACTGCTCCTGCTGGCAGTTCGGCTTGGGTTTTGTCCCTCATCTTTGTAAATGTACAAACATATATATATATATTTTAACATGTACAACACATGGTTCAGAAGTCACAATCCCATGAGACATCCTACCCAGACGTCCAGTGTTTGCTCGTCCCTTGGACCCCACCTGCCCCCCGCATGCTATTGCTTTGTTCATTAGTTCCTGTTCACCTGATCCAGGTTTGTTTCTGCAAAAATGATCTTACTCCCCCAATACTCACCCAAACAGTGGCACGCTGTGTCTGCTGTTTGCACCTTGCCCCCCAGCATCCTGCGGCTTCTCTGACCATCCCGTGCTCCTCTGGTGAATGCAAAGTGAGACTTTCCAAGTGCGGCGTTAAGCTGCGCCCCCCTGGGAGCCGGTCCTGTGGGTGCAGGACCCGAGCCTCCAGCCCTCCTCCCCTCCCGTTGTGGATGTGATGGCCCTGGGGGTGGAGTGGGTGGATGGCCCGAGCCAGCTGCCCATCCTGGGATGAACTCTGACTCCAAGCACCCCAACGCACCTCTTCATCCTCACTTTCCTCCTCTATAAGGGGACAGGAGATTGTGGGAGTTAAAGAAAAAAAAAAGACCCGAATATATAAGCAAGACAAGGTCCATCCATGTGATGGAATATTTTTCATCCCTTAAAAAAAAAAAAAAAAAAGGATAAGGCTCCAACACTTCTGAGGCACCCCGACACTTTCTACAGCATGAAGGAAGGTCATGCGTGTGACAGGAGCCCGACACAGGACACGTAATGGGGGAGCCCGTAGCTGGGAGATGTCCCCAACAGGCAAATCATCCGATTTGGGGTCAATCGGGGCAAGCGGGGCTGGGTGCTCGTGGGGGAGAGATGGGGTGAGCCTTCACACCTCGCTGGTGGCTACCCAACTCCGGACGTGCTGAATGCCACTGAAGTGTCTACTAAAGACCGGTTCATTTTATGTTATGTAAACTTCACCTCCGTTAAAAAAGAAAGATAGAGCCACCAAGGACCCGTTGAAGAGAAAGATGACAGCACCGTGGTTATACATGTAGACCCCAGAGTCTCCATACCTGGGCTGGACTCTTGGCTCTGCCATCTGTGAGCTGTGTGGCCCTACATGTCTTTTTTTTTTTTTTAAGATTTTATTTATTTATTCATGAGAGACACGGAAAGAGAGGCAGAGACACAGGCAGAGGGAGAAGCAGGCTCCATGCAGGGAGCCCGACGCGGGACTCGATCCCAGGACTCCGGGGTCACAACCTGAGCCCAAGGCAGATGCTCAACCGCTGAGCCACCCAGGCGTCCCTACACGTCTTAATTGACGTCTCTGTGCATTAGTTTCCTCATCGGTAACATGGGGATAATAATATTCAAGGTGGTTGCGAAGATTAAATTCATTACTACGTGTAACTGCACAGATGTGGCCCCGACATATCCTAAGAGTGATGGGAGTATTTGGTAATGATTTGATAATTTGTCGAGTTTCTCGCAGAGACTAGATGTTCACTAATTGGCACAGTGGGATTGAGGTTGCTGTCACAGGGCCTGGCAGGTCAGTCCCTGAAATCCCTCCAGCCCTGCAAGTCGGGTGGTCCGGTGGAAGTCGCTTCGTGCAGTCCCCTACGCGGGGTGGGGATGGCTGGAGCCCCATGGCGATGGCATTTATACCAGTGGGTGCAGCTTCCCTCCGAGTGATGGCACCACAGTTTATGTATTTGTTTAGCTATTGACGGATCCTTAGGTACTTTCCAATTTGGGGCCTTGTGAATAGTGGTGCTGAGAACATTCTGGAACACCGGAAGGCATTTCTGTTGGATGTTCATTGTTACAGCTTTCTGGCGTTGCCGTATAATACAATATAAATCATCGCGCTTTGCTCCTTGCTCCTCTACAAGCTCGTCTTTCCTACTGGGCCCTTTTGTTTACTTGGCTACTTTATCATTTCAAAAAAAAAATGCCAGGTGTCCTGCAAGAAAGAACAAGCACATCTGTCTGAAAGGCTCGACACAGCCACAGTGACAAGTTTCTATATTGCACCAGCCTTTATGGTCACCGTTTTTAATTTTTTATTTATTTATTTTTTTAATGATTTTATTTATTTATTCATGAGAGACACAGACAGAGAGAGAGGCAGAGACACAGGCAGAGGGAGAAGCAGGCTCCATGCAGGGAGCCCGACGCAGGACTCGATCCCGGGTCTCCAGGATCACGGCCTGGGCTGAAGGTGGTGCTAAACTGCTGAGCCACCCGGGCTGCCCCAGGTCACCGTTTTTTAAAAAATAAGGAGCGTGAGTGGCTCCTGCGATCGGCAGGGAGCGCCCCGTCTCCCCAACGAGGACGAGGACGGCGCGTGTCCGGAGCTGACCCCCCGGAGCCCGGGCAGCACCCGGCGGGCTGGGTCTCTGGGCTGTGGCGAGGGGAGCTGTCACCTGCCCACCCGGCACCCAGTTAGGAAATGATTTGGTGACTTCCTCCTCTTTCGGCAGGACCGGGTGGCGGAGACTGATGCGGTGTCCGAAAGCCTCAAGGACATCCTGAAGCGCCTGGTTACTTCTGTGACCCCGTCGGTGGTCCTGAGCACCAAGCCTGTGGACGTCAGGGAAATTCAGGTAAAACCGCCGAGGGCGGTGCCTTGTGGCCCATCGGGGATCAGGGTCCCCTCTGGGAGAATCTGCGCATCTCTCTAGCGGTCCCCTATCCCCCGTGGCAGAGCGAGAGCACCTGGCACCGAGTCAGGGACCAGCTTCAAGTTCAAGTTCAGGGCCCCAGGTTCCAGAGCCCCATGGGATGGAAGGAATAGGTGTGTGGGCTGCTCCCCACAGTCCGACCCTAATTAGCCCCGACCCTCTGCTTTTCTGGAGCTACAACCTGACTTTTCACTGTCCACGCAGGGCCTGTGGTCTCAGATCTCCATCCTTCCAGGACTGAGACCCAATTAGCAATGAGAACATGCCCGCAGAGCAAGGGGGCTTTGCATTTATATATATAAAATACCTAGTTATATAGTAGCCTCTGTAACTGCGTGAGCTAATTATATATATTTGAAAATATATTTATTTGCTCATGAGAGAACACAGACTGAGAGAGAGAGAGGCAGAGACATAGGCAGAGGGAGAAGTAGGGTCCTTGCAGGGAGCCTGGTGCGGGACTCGATCCTGGATCCCGGGATCACAACCTGAGCTGAAGGCAGGTGCCCAACCGCTGAGCCACCCAAGTGTCCTAGTTATATATTTATATATAAAATGTATGTTTAAAAAATTTTTTTAAAAATGTATGTTTATTCATATACACAAAAGCTTATTATAAGGAGTTGGCTCCCATGATCACAGAGGCTGATCAGTCCCAGGATCTGCAGGGTGAGTCTGCAAGCTGGAGATTTGCAGGAGACCCAGGACGGGTGACCTTGTAGTCCCGGCCTGAACGCCAAGCAGGCTTGAGAGCCACAGAGAGCTGGTGTCTCCATTCAGGTCTTAAGGCAGGAAAACAACCCCTGATATCCCAGCCCCAGTGGTCAGGCTTGAGGAACCCCCTTTTTTTCAGGGGAGGTCAGCCTTTGTTCTAGCAGACCTTCAACTGATTAGATGAGGCCCACCCACATTAGGGAGGGCAATCTCTTTCACTGGGTCTTTTGATCTAAATGTTAATGTTATGCAAAAATGTCCTCACAGAAACATCCAGAACAACGTTTGAACACATACCAGTGTACCCTGTGGCCCTGTCACGTTGACCCATAAAATTAACCATCACACATAGATATTTGAAATATTTCATTTCCACCCCGGACATGTGATTGCTCTGGCCCCAGTGCTCATGGACTTGGATCATAAGGACTTTTTTTTTTTTTAAGATTTTATTTATTTATTCATGAGAGACACAGGCAGAGGGAGAAGCAGGCTCCATGCAGGGAGCCCAATGTGGGACTCAATCCCAGGACCCCGGGATCATGACCTGAGCCAAAGGCAGACGCTCAACCCCTGAGCCACCCAGGCGTCCCTCCTAAGGACTTTTGTAATTACTTCTTGCAGCTCACACTTGGCAAAGTCCTGGTTCACAGTAGTGTTTTCTAAATAGTGACCTTGAGATGTTGGCAAGCTTCCCCAGCACCCAGATCCCTTCCTGGAAGCCTCTGTTTGTGTAGAGACCTGTGATGTCTCCGAGAAGCCTTTCCAGGATTCCCAGACCTTTGTTCTTAAGGGACCACCCCCCCACCCGCCTTTTTAAAATATTTTATTTATTTGACACAGAGAGCGAGAGATTGAGAGCAAGAGAGCAGGAGGGAGAGGGAGAGAGAATCCGAAGCAGAGTGCAAAGCCAGACCTGGGGCTCCATCCCACAAATGTGAGATTGTGACCGAAGCCAAAACCAAGAGTCAGATGCTTAACCAACTGAGCTACCCGGGCGCCCTGGGGCCCCGTCCAGAGAACACTCACGGGGCGCCGGAGTGGCTCAGACTGCGAAGCGTCTGCCTTCAGCTCAGGTCGTGATCCCAGGGTCCTGGGTTTGAGCCCCACGTCGGGCACCTTGCTCAGTGGGGAGTCTGCTTCTCCCCCTCCCTCTCCGTCTTCTGCTCCCCCTGCTCGTGCGCTCTCTCTCAAATAAATAAAGAAAATCTAAAAACAAAAGAAAAAGAAAAGAAAAAAGCACTCGCAGCGTGAGGGGAGGGAGGAAGCTAGTTTGGGGAAGGTTTAAGGCGATGTCCTCCGGGTTAGAGGAGCCTTTTCTCTGTTGGAATTGCCTTGATGCCCGTTGAAGACATGATGATGGACACTGGGCCCAGCCATACCCGCCTCTGTCGCCGCTTTAGTGCCTCTCCGACCCCCCGATGAGACTCGGACAGTCCTCACCTGGGTGGCGCTGTGCGTGACGGGCCTTGCCGTGTGCGTGTCAGGCTGCTGTCCCGCTCGGTGCCCCTGGGCAGTGGGCCCGCAGCCTGGAGAGGGCACCCCACTTTCTCTTGAGCGCCCGGCCTGGGTCGGGTGTGGCCCCAAGGCAAGCTTGCTTCCAGTCTCCGCTCACAACCGGATTCTGGGGGGCCCTCTCTGGTTGAACCCGGTTTATTTGGACAGAAAAGATTCCCACGCAGGGGAAGACGTGATGCTGGATTGGGACCCTCACTTCCTATAGGAACGGAAAGCTATTATGGAGCCGACTGCAGGGGGTCAAACGGGATTTCCTGGAGACCCCTCCTCTTCACCCTGGTCACTGCCTTTTGTTTTTCTACATCTACAGCGCGCTTCATCTGCTCCTCAGGAATCCTGCCCTCCCAAACCTCCAAGGGCTCACGAACTCAAATTATTGGTGAAGAACATCCGAGCCTCGCTGCTGAACGATCCTGGTGCTTCAGGCAGGTGGTGGGGCTGCGGGACACCCTTGGGTGTGTGTGTGTTGGGGGTGGGGGGCCCAGGCGAGCATGGGGAGACATGCGGGTTCTCCGTGGCCTCTGGCTTCCCTGCAGCATCCTTCACTTGAGTCTGCAGCGTGACCCCTGCCTTTGAGCAAAGAGCCCCTGAAAACCATAATAGGAACGTGAGACCATTAAAAACCAGTCCCGATTTTGTGTGCATGAAGGCTGAGGTGGGGGGGAAGGGATGCACCTGTGACCTTGCCCTTTCCTTTCGTCTGAAGAACACCTTTTTGTTCTTTTAAACTATGGAACATGTAAATACATATTGAGCATCCCTGACTGATATGTGATGTGAACGTTCTTTCTTTTTTTTAAAAAAGATTTTATTTATTTGAGAGATAGAGAGCGAGCAAGTGAGCATGAGCAGGGAGGAGGGGGAGAGGGAGAAGCAGACTCCCCCCCGAGCAGGGAGCCCGATGTGGGGCTCGATCCCAGGACCCTGGGATCATGACCTGAGCCGAGGGCAGGTGTTCAAGCAGCTGAGCCCCCCAGGGGCCTGTACCTCCTCCTCTCATAGAAGCTGAAGTGCCACATGGGCTATTTATGGAGGGTCAGCAGGACCTCAGGCCCATCGGGGACCCCTCCGTGCCAGAGAGGCTATTACCTGAGCAAGGACAAGTGTCGCAGAACCGGTCATACTCTCAGTGTCCTGAATGGCTGCTGAGACCCCAGGTGCACAGCAGCCTGGAACAGGACCCAGCTTCCCACCACGGTTCCATTTTGCCGAGGACGGGAATGAATTCTTTGTTGCCTGAGAACGCTGAGGGTTGCGTATCTGCGAGGAGTTCTTTCCAGGGCCCAAAGCACAGACCGTCCACATGTAACACCCGAGACTCTGTGCGACGCCAGCTGTGGGCGACTGGCTTGGTAAGGGCCCTAGCCCGTGGCCCTGCGAGGCCTGCCCTGCTCACCACTGCGGGGACCTCTGACTCTGGACGCTGTCGGCCCGGGCGGGGGTCCCTGTTCCTCGCCTCTGCCAGCAGGTCCGCGTCGGGGTCCGTGTCTCCCGTCGGAGGTGATTGTGAAGACCAGTAAGATAATGTGCTTGGAACAACACTGCGTGGTGCCCGCAGAGGGCCAGGGACTGCGGTGGTTACTGGTTCCACGCTGTGTTCACAGTTCTCTGCCCTGGGACAAACGTTGCCTTGAAGCAGAAACCACCGGGTACTAGGGAAACGTCCCATTACCCGGATCAAAGATCCTTAAATCTCTGACTGAGCTGAGTCAGGTATAAAAACACATCCTTCGTGAGTAGGGAGATGGGGTCTCTGCAGGGTATCCCCAAATTCAGGGGTCACCCCGGAGGCCTTTCCTTTTGCAAGCAGGTAGTCTTGTCCCAAAGTGGGGGGTCACATCAGCTGTAGTGAAGTTGCCCCTGGGAAGTGTCACCATCCAGGGCAGGAAGCAGGGGCGTTTGGGGCCCACCGTCCGGGCCAGTAGATATCCAGTTGGGGACAGGAAGCCTCAAACCCCAAGTGCAGTGCTTTGAGAGTTTGTCAGTGGCCAATGAAATCGAGAAAAGCCGCTCGGAAGGGGTGAGCCGAGGCGTCAGGCACGTAAGTCGGCCCGTCAGGTGCAAACCACGTCTGCGTGCAATGCAGTTCTAAAGAATAGGAATGCCCCTTTGTGTGATTGCAGGCAACGTTAGGCCACAGTGTGTGGTCCGGCTGAACGAGCCCGTTCAGAAGTTCAGCGCCCTCGCGAAAACCACGACCGAGCTCGCCTGGGAAGAAGAATTCACCTTGTGCGTACGGCCTGGTTGAGGGGCTTGCGTCCGCACAGCCGCACCTGCTCACGGCGGCCAGATCGTGAAATCCGTGTGTAGCGCTGCTAATACCCCACGCTTAAAAATTTTTTAAGAACTTTTTTTGAAAAGGTGTCTTAGACGTCCCAGGTGGCTGTAGGTTGGGTATGGATTTCTCTCTGAAGGCAGCCCTGGGTACGGGTCCCCTCCTCGCCCGCGTCCTGCTGCAACCAGAGAGCGCTCTGGGCGGGCTCCCTTTGCTTCTGAAATACATGCCGCTTGGAGCGGAACGGAGGAGACTTTGGGTGGTTTCCAGAACGTGGCTGGGAGCAAAGGGAGGAGTAGGGCCCGTTGATAAGAAATGGTGTAGGAACCCTAAGTCATGGGGTAGGGAGCAGCCTCCCTCCAGCACGTGCAGAAGCCAGGTCCATTCCGGAACGTCCGGGTGGCTTCGTGGGATCTATTAACAGCCCACGACGATCTCTCATGAGCTCATTGTGTTGTTAGATCAAAGGAGAAAACAAACTTAGCTTGGTAACATGCCCAGAAGATCATCAGTGACCTTTCCTGTGAGATCCTAATGTTAAAAACATAATTAGAATAAGATTTATGGCCACCTGTTTAATAGGCTTAAGGAAGTCGTATATGAATGAGAAAGACCAGAAGTCATCCTGTTAAAGCCGAGAGACAGATACCCACTGTTTTGTTCTAGAAGTAAGGGTAATGCACTCGGATAAGAAAAGGAGGTCGTGTACAAATACAGGAAAGGAAGAGGCAAAATGAATTATTACCTGGAGGTAATACTATTGCCTATCTAGACTATTCAAGAAAATCAGCTGAAACGATCAGAAATAAAAAATGGCTATAGGATAGAAGTAATAGTAGGAAGCTCATAGAAATAATATTTCAGTGAAGTGGCTGAGTCTAAAAATAACAGAAATCAGTTGTTTTCTGATGGTCTAGCAATGAACAGTTGGAAAAAGTACTGGCGGCAGGTGTCCCGTGTATAAAATAAAGGGTTTTTAGGAATCATTAATGAAAATAGGAGCACTCTCCTGGAAACCTGGGAAAAGATGTCTGAGCTAGAAATATATTAAAGCAAGAATCGTAGATAGCCAGAAACTTCTGAGAAGTTGTTCGATCTCAGAAAAAAATTTTTTTTAAAAGATTTATTTATTTATTCAGAGAGAGAGACACACACACACACACAGGCAGAGGGAGAAGCAGGCCCCACGCAGGGAGCCCGACCTGGGACTCAATCCCGAGTCTCCAGGATCACACCCTGGGCTCCAGGCGGCGTTAAACCGCTGCACCACCGGGGCTGCCCCGATCTCAGAAATAGTTAAAGAAAAACAAATGTAAACCAAAAAGCTTTTATATATATATATATATATATATATATATATATATATATTTTTTTTTTTTTTTTTTTTTTTTTTTTTTTTTTTTTCCACCTTATGGGTTGGTAAAGAATAGGCAAGTGAGGATGGGCTGGGGGAAGTGTAAATGGGAATAACCATTCTGGAAGTCCTCACTATGTATCCAAAAAAAAAAAAAAAACCAACCTCTTAAATGCACATACCTTTTGACTGGCATTTATAGTCTTCCTAAGGAAATAATAAAAAAAAAAAAAAAAGGAAATAATCACACAGCGTGTACAAAGATGTTTACTGTAGCTTGTTTATGATTATGAAATGTTTTTTTTTTGATTATGAAATATTATAAACAATCAAGCCATTATTAAGGCCTGGTTATTTTTTAAATTTTTTTTAAAGATTTTTATTTATTTATTCATGAGACAGAGAGAGAGAGAGAAAGGCAGAGACACAGGCAGAGGGAGAAGCAGGTTCCATGCGGGAGCCTGACGTGGGACTCGATCCCAGGTCTTCAGGATCAGGCCCTGGGCTGAAGGCAGTGCTAAACCGCTGAGCCACCCGGGCTGCCCTTAAGGCCTGGTTAATTAAGGATTTGGATAAATAAGATCTCCCAAGGGCAGATAGTAGAGTACTAGATGCCTATTCAAAGTGGCGTTGCTCTGTAGCTTCTGACCTGGAAAGACGTCTGATATCTTACGTGGGAAAAAAAAAAAAAAGGCCACAAAAGGTATATATCCTGTTCTATTTTTTGGTTTTAAAAAACTTAAAGAGCTATGTTCTTTGATACAGTAAGTACTAGCCACACGCGGCTCTTTAAATTTGAATTAATTAAAACGAAACAAAATTGACTTCAGGCCCTCAGTTAGCACGGGCCTCGTTTTGGGCTCTCAGTAGCCATCTGGGGCTGGCGGCCACCGTATTGGAGGGCGCCTGGATAGAACATTCTCTGTCATCAGTCAGAAAGGAGCAGAGAGTTCTAGGAGACCAGTAACCAGAGATTAACAGTACCTGGGGATAGCAAAGTGGCAGGTCCTCTTTACACTGATGGTGATTTGTGTTTCTTTCTATAATGAGAAAAAAAAAACTGTTTTAAGAAATAATACAGCATTTGCAAGGATTCACAGCTCTTTTTTTTCCTTTCCGCAGTGAGTTGAATGTCAAGTCGAAGGAGTTGCACCTGCAGATTTCAGGGGATGAGCGATCCTCAGAAGGTGGGTGTCGAGCAGGTGCGGAGGGGGCGGCCCTGCTCTCGGGGAGGTGTCATCCAGCCGCCCCGACGGGGCCTGGAGAAGCTGAGAAGCCCTGCCCTGAAACCACTCCGGTCTTTCCGAGGCAATGTTTGCTTGAAAGTCCATTTCAGTTATGAGCAAGGGGAAACATTTTGGAAAAGAATATACACAACTGGGTTTTGCCTTTTTTTTTTTTTTAATAAATATCTAAAATTTTTTATTCAGCCGTTTTTGGCTTAGAGAAGAAGTACTTCTCGACCTTCTTAGCCTTAATAGACCCGTTCTGTTGTGTTCCTAATTGGGGTAAAATGCGTATAACATAGAAGCTCCCATCTTAATCGTTTCTGAGTGTAAAATTCAGTGGCGTTGAGTACATCCACACCGTTGTGCAGCCATCAGCACCACCCACCTCCAGGACTTTTTCCTCTTGCCACGCTGAGACCCTGGTCTCGTGAAACACCAACTTCCCCACACCCTCCATCCCCCTGGCACCGCCCCCCCGCCCCATCCTGCTATTTCTCTCTATGGATTTCAACTGGCTTTTCCTTGTAAAATAAGCCACAGCATCTTACACTGGACGCATGCTTTAGAGACAAGAAAGCTACGGTTAAAGGTAAAATCACAAAAGTGAACATGGACCTGTATATATGCGTGTGTGTAAGTCAGGAGTTTCAGTATGTATTAGGTTTTAAAAAATGCCCATAAACATACCAAAATTGGGAGAAGGGGGCCCCTTACCTGGCTTATCCTGCTGGGAGACCAAGCCATTTGGTTGTCTCCTAAAATTACAAAGACCCAAGAAAAAGCAATTCAAGCTTCTTGTTTATTTGCAAGAATAATTCTTCTTCTTCTTCTTCTTCTTCTTCTTCTTCTTCTTCTTCTTTTAAGATTTTAAGTTTTTAAAGATTTATTTATTTAGAGAGAGAGAGAGAAAGGGGCAGAAGGAGAGGGAGAGAGAGAATCCTTAAGCAGACTCCCCGCTGAGCACAGAGCCTAACCTCAGGACCCTGAGATCGTGACCTGAGCTGAAATCAAGAGTTGGCTGCTGCTTAACCAACTGAGCCACCCAGGCACCCCCTTATTAGCAAGAATTCTGAGCTAATTTCCTTGATTCCGTTGTCCCGGGATAAGGTCAGTGAGGTGTTCCTGAGATAAGAACTGACGTTCCAGGAGACGGCATGTGGTTTGAACCCAGAGTGGGCCCAGGGTTTGCCTGGAAAGAAGGCAAGTCCCAATCCGTTTCTGAGGCACCACACCTCTGGAGGCTCATTCCTATACAACCCGATGGGATCTATGAAAATTTACATTAAAAAACCAAAAACAGAACAAAGAACAACCATATAGCCTTTACCCGGACTCCCACAGTTTTGACAGTTTGCCCCATTTGCTTTATTGTTTGTGCTCGTACTTAGTGGTTGCTCTTGATTTTGCTTGCTCAGTCTCCGCATGTGCACATGCACACGTTCCAGTGTGCGCACACACACACATACACACACACATGCTGGAGGGTAAACCTGTAAATGTCCGAGGGTATCAGGCCCTTTACCTTGCCTTTCTTAGGTGCATATTTCCTAAGAATAAGGATATTCTCTGGTATGTCCACAGTCCAGCTGTCTGCTTCCTGAATGTACATGCACGTTCTGTAACCTGACACCATGTTCTGCTTCATGGGTTGGCCCCGCGTCCTTTATTTAGAGTAGTTACTTTCCCTCCCCCCACAGCATCAGATACCGCCTTCAGTCTCCTGTCTCTTATGCCTCCCTTGGTCTGGACCGTGTCCACGGCCTCTCTTTGTCTCTATGGTGTTCTGAGATGTCCCAAAACTGGAGGACGCTCAAGCAGACAGGATGTGCATTAGGAGGTTGTTCTGGTTGTGGTGGTGGCTCCCTCTGACCCCTGCTCCCGTGGAACCCCATGGAAATGTATCTTTACTTGTCTCCTATCTTTTTAGCTCTCTTGGCAATGACGGCCATTCCTTTGGATTTATTCAAGAAGCAGCCCTCTGGGCCCCAGAGCTTTACACTGACCGGCGGGTCCTCCTTTGGCGGCTCAGTGTTGGGTTCGGTCACTGCGGAGGTATGGCGTCCTTCTCTCCCGTGGCCAAGCTCCAGCTGGATGCACTTGAGATAAGGAGCATCTTTATCTGTCAGTTAGTTTGGATTCTTGCCTCAGCAGCAAATGAGAAAGCTCCTCACGTAAGAGGAGCCCTTGTGTTGTGCTGTGCATTTCTAGACCTGAATGGGACACGTCCTGCCCATGGTCGTGTTGAGTGGTCTGCCGTTTGGAGAACTTTCCACGACGGCCGTGTCATGTGGGCCTAACCCACGAAGGCCCACTTGGTTTCGTTTGGTGCTGTAGCCTTTGGGCCTGTCACTGGGCGCGGAGTGGCAGGGATTGAGCGTGGGTCTTGTCACCCCCCTCGGTTCTGGGGAAACCAACCCAGATTAACTATGAGATGGTTACCGTACCGAGTGATGCCAATTGACGCAGAGGTTACGGCCAGGGAGGGCGGCGTGCCGTGCCCAGGGCTTGGTCTACGTGCTGTACGAGGTGCGTAACTGTACCTTCTCTGCAGTTTTCTTACGTAGAACCCAGCGAAGCGAAATCCTGGCAGACGCCTTCACCTGCTCCCGCTGCAAAGGTAGAAAAAGATCGCACGGTGATGCCGTGTGGGACTGTGGTCACTACTGTCACTGCCGTGAAAACCAAGCCTCGCTTCGACGCCGGGAGGGCGTCCCCGCTGAGCTCTGGTGAGAGCAGCCCCTGCAGACTCCAGCCCCCCGGCCCCGTGAGCACCTTGCCTGTCTAGACAGCGGGATGCCGTAGTGAGTGTTGTTCAGACAGTCTCGTGGCACAGACAGCCGGGCAGAGGGCAAAACTTCTTAGCTTTTTGTGTTCTAGGCAGTTACCTTTCTATGCTGTCGAATAAATACACGGCATGCCGAAGCAGGGTTCAACCCGGTAGTGTGCGCTGAAGCTGAAAAAATGTAGATGCTAGAGGAAAAATATCTAGTTAAATGAACTACCCTATTACATTTACGTGGGGACAACCCATGTCGTGTAAGTGGTCAGTGCAAGTGCAGGTTCTTAGGAAGGCTTGATGTGCAGTCATTTTATTCTTTATTTTTATGAATTTTTAAAAAAGATTTGATTTATTTATTCATGAGACAGAGAGAGAGGTGCAGAGACACAGGCAGAGGGAGAAACAGGCTCCATGCGGGGAGCCCGATGGGGGACTCGATCCTGGGACCCCGGGGTCACGCTCTGAGCCAAAGGCAGATGCTCAACCCCTGAGCCCCCCAGGTGCCCCGTGTGCAGTCATTTTAGATCTAGCTGAATTCTTACCTGTCCCCCCAGCCTCTGCCCCAGAGACAGCTTCTGTATAAGTGCAGGGCTTACTATTTTATTTATATTATGTTTCTGCTTGTAGATAGATACGCGTATTATCTTCCCAGAATAGATTGCCTGGCACCATTCCTGAATACAAAACGGAATAAAATGAAATTCTGGCCTAATTAAAATGTTTCTGAAATTTTACTTAACCCCAGGTTCCCATTATCCTTTCTGGGTACTTGGCCTCCACCCCCACCCCCAAAAAGATGAGATATCCAAAGGTTTGCCCTCGCCTTTTCCAGCTGCATAGATGGGGTTGCGTGAGAGGTGTGATTTCACCTTCCCGGGAACTGTAGGTTCAGGCGGCTTTTGGGTCATCCATTATGACCTGGATTTCCTCCCGGCAGAGTCTCCCGTGAAGACGCCTGTCAAAGTGAAGGTCATTGAGAAGGACATCTCTGTCCAAGCCATCTCCTGCCACGGCGCTCCCGTCAGCAAGACATTTTCGTCTTCGGACACAGGTAACGGGGCGCATGCTCACCGCTCCCCTCCTTCTGGGTTCTCCTCCCGTCTTTCTCGGCTGCCCAGGGGTCAGCATTTCCTTTTTGGAGTTTGAGGGGAGCTTTTTTGAGTAATGAGAGCAGAACTAGAAGGAGAAAGGGGGAATGGGAGCCAGGCAGAGACCGGGGTGGTGGTAAGTTTTAGCAGATGCTTTCACAAAAGACACATAAAAACCCAGTTTATACCTCAGGTTATAAAAGAAATTTCTTTTTTTAAAGATTTTATTTATTTATTCATGAGAGACCCAGAGAGAGAGGCAGACACACAGGCAGAGGGAGAAGCAGGCTCCCTGCAGGGAGCCCGATGCGAGACTCGATCCCGGACCCCCAGGATCACGCCCTGAGCCGAAGGTGGATGTTCAACCGCCGAGCCACCCAGGTGCCCCCCACGTTATAAAACATTGGGGCATGATTTTTCTCCTGCTCCATATACCAGTGCTATGAATATCATAAATAAGCAGGACTCCGGGGTGTGATCCTAAAGGCGGCTTCGTTCGTGCCTCCCACGAGGTCTCCCCCAGAGCTCTGCTTGCACATTTCCCATTTTTATGGTCGCTCCCAGGGAACACGTATCTTTGGAGAGATGAGTCCCTGCCTCCCTAAATCAGAGCAGAATCTAAATTTGGGGATTACGTTTTCTCCCTTTGCTCGCGTGTGACCTGCTGCCAGAAGGGGCTGGTGGCTCCTCCTTTTGGGCTCACCCTCTCCCTGTCCCCTCAGCCCCTTTTCTGATCTCGCCAGTGTCAAGGACGGGACCAGGAGGAGAGGATGGTGGGGCGGGGGGAGCGGGGAGCCGGAAGCTCTCACTTGACAGGTGCTGTCTTAGGACGGCTTCGTACTTGCTCAGCCTGGTGACGGCGACACTGCTTCTCCCCGTGGGAGTGGTCAGGTTCTCTGGAAACCGCAGGGCTCCCTCAACTGTAGAGCTTCCTGGGTGCAGGTCGTGTCCCTCCTCTGGCTGGCGTTCCTGCTCGCTTTACCTGCCCCTGGCAGGTGCCCCATGGCCTTGGACTGCAGGGGCACCTTCACTTGCGCCCTTTATTTTTTTACTTTTTATTTTATTTATTTATTTATTTATTCATGAGAGACAGAGAGAGAGAGAGAGAGGCAGAGACATAGGCAGAGGGAGAAGCAGGCTCCATGCGGGGAGCCTGATGCAGGACTCGATCCCAGGACCCTGGGATCACGCACTGAGCCGAAGGCAGGTGCTTAACCGCTGAGCAACCCGGGCATTGAAACCGAGAAGGGAGACGCTCCTGTTAACCCCCTGCCCCACTGAGAGCATCGTGGTTTGGCTGTGCCTTGGCAGGAGCTCCCGCGGTGACGTCACAGGCATCAGCTTGGGGTCACAGACCCGGTGTAGCACCTCGGCCATGCTGTGCCCCCTGACCTTCCCCGTGACTCAGATGGGGATAAACAGGGCACCCGCCTCCTAGGGCCTTGGGAGGGCTGCACGCGGCGGTACGCCCGCGGCCCTTTGCACGGCACCTGCTGGGGGTTGAGCCTCCCTGAGATGTTGGCCAGCTGTGCGGCCCTGACAATGGGAAGGAGCCACCTTCGTGACCTGGCTCCTCTGAACACATGGTGTTGGGCTGCCGTCGGGACTGAAAAGGAATAACCTCACTGCCCTCCGGAGTTCGAACTCTTGTAGAAGGTCAGGGGCCTTTTTGCTTGTTGGCCTACCTGCTTCCGTTGTTTGTCATCAACTCTATGGAGGTAGATGGAAATGAAGGAGATGTCGGCATATAGGAAAGTGCAGAAACCCAGGTATACATCCGTGAGCGCATGGAACCATCCAGAAGCAGCGGCGGACCGAGGGTGGTCTGTGAGCCAGAGCTGGCCCTGTTCCCATTTGTACCTCTCATCAGGGCCCACTCTCGTCCCGCAGGCCCACAAAGCTTGACCCACTCGCTCTCTGGCCCTTGATGGAAGAGATTTGCACACCACCCCTCCCCCCACCCTGGGCAGCCACCCCCAGCTGGGGATGGTTCCCATCAGCCCTGGAGGTCCCTGGGGGGGGCGTGCAGTGTGTGCAGCGAGCTCAGCGCCCCCTTCCTCCCGCAGAGCTGCTGGTGCTCAATGGCTCGGACCCCGTGGCGGAAGTCGCCATCCGCCAGCTCAGCGAGTCCTCAAAGCTGAAGGTCAAGTCGCCGCGCAAGAAGAGCACCATCATCATATCAGGGATCTCCAAGGTACGGCCTGTGTCCCGGGGGTCCGGGTCCTCCCAAGCCCTGGTGACGCCCCGGCAGCTCCCTGCAAAAGGCAGGTGCCATTTGCCCGCCCGGCAGGCGGGTCGCCACGACATTGTGTTTGTGCGGCCCACCCCGTCCGGGAGGACGCTTGCAGGCTGGCCGGGGTGCTCTGGCTGTTGAGGGGCTGCGGAAATCACATGGGGGGAGGCCGTGCAAAGGGAGGGACTGGCGTGATGCAAGGTTCCCATTGGGGGATGGAACATCCACCCTCCCGCACGACGACCGTGGGGCGCTTTCCCTTTCCATGCTACGCATTTCCAGACCCTTTTAGTTGTTCTTGCAGTGGAGGCCTGTGCCTCTTGCAGTCAGAGACGTGACGCGCAGATTGTTCTAAGACGTCCCCTTCTCTTGCTCTGCGATGTGGGTGCAGAGCCCATGGTGGGCGCGCACGGGCCAGGCTGCCGGAGAGGCCGGCCCCTAGGGCCCAGGGGCCACACGCTGGTCCCTTAACTGGTGTGATTCCCATTTCAGAATGAAAGAGGAGGATGCCAGCAAGGGATTTGGTCGCTGGGGGGGGGGTGAGGAGGTGACGACTTTCTCAACACAGGGCAGGCTGGTTCTTGGAGGCTGTGAGAGGGGGGCAGCGTGTAGCTTATGCCTCGGTGGGGCACGGGGGGGGGGGCAGGAGGGGCCAGAGGCGTGGCATGGTGTTGCCATGGTAGCCAGGTTCTCGGTGGCCAAAGCTCTGGTCCCGGCAGGGCTCCCAGGCACCTGCGGCCAGGTGCTGCCCCTGCACTTCTGGCGGCGGCCAGCAGGGAGGCGACGGCATGGGGTGGGGTCCCTGACAGCGTCCTCTCTGCCTTCCCTAGGGCTGTATCTTGGAGTCCCTAGGAACCCGAGAACCTTTTCATTTCATGCATCCAACCCACCGCGGTGCCTGTTTTACGCATGCTCAGGTTGCCCCGTCTTGAGTCCGTGGGCGCTCAGCCAGCCAAGTGCCATTGGCAGGAAGCAGGCCACCCTAGGAACGGGGTGGGGGCCCCTTGTGGTCACTTTCCACCCCCCCCCCCCACCCCAGCCAGCCAGCTGCTGGGCCAAGGGTAGCACCCGCACAGAGAGGTCACACGCAGGATTTTAGGCCACAGCACGCACGCCTGCAGAAAGCAAACTCCCGTAGGAAGGGCTGTCCAAAGTGTTAAAAGTGAACTGACCCTGTAGCCCGTTCTCTGTGTCCCCCCGTGCCCACCCGCCCGTGCGCCGTCCACCACTTAGAAGGAAGTCTCGCCCTCCCTGCCGAGCGCCCCTGCTGGGGAAGGGTGTTTGCAGGGAGGGGGTGTCTCGCCCCTCCACCTGTGAACTCAGGCGCCCCTGGCAGCCAGGGAGGGGACCCCCCACCCTCCGCCCTGAGGGTGGGTGATGGGGAAGACCAGCACGGGCTGCCTGTCAGTCCCTTTGAGAAACGGCTGTGCCTCTTTGGAAAAACATGAACTGGCGTCTTCCGACGCTTTGGAATCGTCAGGATGTTTGCACAGAGCCTTCCAGGCTTTTCCACATCCGCTCCTCCTCCCGCATGTCCTTGCCACCGTCTCTCATGCTGACTTTGTTCTCTCGTCCTGGGACAGACCTCACTATCTCAGGACAATGCTGCTGCCATGATGCTGGACTACTCGGCCTCCCTGGACAGCGCCCGCCAGGAGGACACCCCGTCCCTTCTGGGCGCAGCTGCAGCCTCTGCACCACCCGAGGAGGAAGAGGCCTCGGCCCCGCTGGCCCCGGAGCCCCAGGAGCCCCAGGAGCCCCAGGAGCCCCAGGAGAGCGAGCTGGACTCCTGGGACTTGGACAAGGAGTCACAGGCGTCAGCGTGGGGCAGCCAGGCCCCACTGGACCCTGATGGGGACGAGCTGTCTGAGAGCTCCCTGAGCGTGTCGGAGCCGGGTGCCACCAAGAAGCATAAAGGTACCTGCGCCCCCGCCCCCCGCGCGCCGGCCCACCCCATAGCTCTCCTGTCTTGCCAGGGTCTAAGCTAACGTTAGCTCCCATCACCTGCTTTCCTGCCCTGCTCCTCTGCAGACCCACCTGCCCCAGCACCCCGCCCCAGCCAGTGCACACACTCGTGGGGCAGGGTCGGGCCCCCTGGAGCCAGCGGACAGGAGGGCAGTTTGAGGTCATGCCCAGAGCACCCCTTCTTCTGTGCTCCACACCTGCCCCAGGAATAGAACTCTCCAGAACATTTAGGGGGGGTCACCGAGCGGCATATGACACCTATGCTGGGGCCCAAGAGACTCTGCACAAAACCCGCAGAGACCGGGCCTCCCCGAGCCGTGGAGATCGGCACCTCTGCTCCTTCTGCCTCAGAGTCTTCCCTCCACCCCAAACTTGGCCAGACCTCAGCGCGTGGACCCGCTGGGGCCCCAGGGCAGAGAAGTTCCCCCAGAAAATGAACCGGTTAGTTTAATATGTGTGTGGTGATGAGTAGTCGCGTCGTCGGAACCATCCCTTGTTTTCCGTTAGCGCCGAATCAGTGCCTTAAGTTTGTGGATTTTGTCGGCGCGCGCAGTTGTCCTTGGTGCTTTGGCATGACCGGGACCTAAAGCCGCGTTCTGCGGGAATGAAGTCTGGGGGCTCGAGGTCAGTTCTAGAGCAAGGGGGGCGGGGGGGCGTCAAGCCTCCCACACCTCAGCTCCTCCACGAGCGAGGATGCGCCCACCTCCAGGCAGGGACCCGGAGATCCCAGTGCAGAGACAGGATGGGAGATGGAATGCAGGCACCTGACCCCGGCTGGGAGTCGTGGGTGCAGCTCAGTGCTAAGTCCTTGGCCCCCCTCGCCCCCCCTCCCCTGTCCCCCGAGAACGCAGACTTTAGGAACCTCAGCACTCAGTCCTGAGGTCGGGAGCCTTGGTAGGCTGCCCTCCTGCTCTGTTCCTGCCACCACAGCCCAGTGGTTCTGGAACCGGGTGATTGCGTCCCCTACCATGTCACCCAGGGGACCCTGCCAGTGTCCTGGGACAGCTTCAGCTGCCACAGCTGGGGGGTGGGGTGCTGCTGGCAGCAGGCAGTAGAGGCCGGGGTGCAGCTCACCGGCTCACAGTGTGCCACACGGTGGCCCGTGGCCCCGTAGCTGAGGGCCCTGCTGTAGGGGCCTGTGCTCGTCCCTGACCCCCCCTTACCTGACGGCTTCATGTGTGTCCCCGTGAGCCACACCCATGTGGAAGCAGAGGAGGCACAGATGGGGACCCGCTGGAAGCCAGGAGGAGGAAAGAGAGAGGGAGAGGGCACGATTTCCAGGACGCGTGATGGAGATGGGACCTCGGGCCCCGTCTGCCTGCTGGCCCCGGCCGGGGGGACTCCCTCGCTCCCGTACAGAAGGCGCAGCCCGGGTGATGGGAAAGGCGGCCTGGCTGTGGGTCCACAGGGCGCCCCCCGCCCCCAGTCTCAGGGCCAGCACCGCCCCATGGAAGGCAGTGTGTGCGCTGGGCAGGGTAGAAGACGGGGTGCAGGGCGGCGTGCCCCCTCCTCTCCCTTCCTCCTCCCGATGGCCAACAGTCCGCTGCCTCTTCTCATGAACCCCAGTCCCCTCCCCCACACCCCCCTCCTGCGTTCACTCTGAGAGGCCCTGCCTCGCTGACCCCAAGTCCATCCAGAGAGCACCCTTCCCTCATCTGTTGCTTCCTCTGCTTTTCCTTCTGGAGAGTTCTTTCCCATGGGCGTCCATCCTTGCTGTGCCATGGCCACGCTTCTCCTTTCCCGAATGGGACCCTTCCAAAAGGGCACTCTTGGGGACCGAGGTGCTGACAGGTGCGCTGGGGCTGCCTCCAGTTGTGCTGGGGCACAGGGACCGCGCTGGACGTCCACCCCGATGGCACTGCTGCACAGACCGAGAATTTTTTTCTTTTTAAGATTTTATTATTTATTCATGAAAGACAGAGAGAGAGGCAGAGTCACAGGCAGAGGGAGAAGCAGGCTCCATGCAGGGAGCCCAACGCCGGACTCGATCCCGGGTCTCCAGGATCACGCCCTGGGCTGAAGGCAGGTGCCAAACCGCTGGGCCATCGGGGCTGCCCCAGACCGAGAATTCATAAAGGGGCGTATCTGGCAGTGTTTTCCAACTTGCTTCCCCCTTCCAGTGTTTTCTGAGCGATTTGGACACTGCATCTCCACGAGATGTTGTTGGAACCTCAGACGATGATGTGTTACGGGTGCCAGAGGGTAAATGTGCTCCAGCAACAGTTCTACGCTGGGGATCAAGGGAGCGCGCTCTCGTTTTTAAACCGAGGCTCGTTTTCTGGCTCCAGAACCACCCACCTGCACCTTGCGTCCCAGCAGGGAGTTTGCACGGGTCCCCAAGACTGCCCGCGTGGTTACGGTTCTCCTGGGGTTTCGCTGGTTGGAAATGCTGCAGCCAATGCAGGAAATCTATTCCCCAGATTCGGGTTTATTTTTAGCTTCACTGAGGGTCCGCATGGTTGCCGGGCAACGGGAACGTACTCCACGTGACCGTGTGTTCCGAGATGGTTAGGACGGCAAGGTCTGTGTTAGGTGTACTTTACGTTGGTAAGAACAAAAGTAATGATGGAGACTTGGCAAAATATTAAAAAGTAAAACAAGACAAAACAAAAAATCCAAAAAACCCAGAACTAAAACCCTGACCCCCAAGCCTTGCCAGGTGTCCTGCCCCGTAACCTCCCGTGCGCGCCAGGTGTGATGCTTCGGGACTCACTGTCTGTCATTCTTGTTTTGCTCCTGCGTGTTTTGCTTTTGACCTCTGACCTCTTCCTTCTCGCCATCGTGCTCATTCCCTTTAGCTTAAGAGGATCGCTATGCCAACCAGAATTAATTGCCTACACAGTAAGTCGTTTCTGTCTTCTTATTTTTTCTTTTTCCCCCCAAAATCGGGTACAGCCTTGTCCTGAGCAAAGCCTGTTCTGTTACAACAGGAAGCTGGTCCCCTTCCCTTCCTCTCCCGTCACTTCCCAGCTCGACCGGCCCACGGTGTCCGTTTTCCCCACGTTCCTCCTTAGACGTGTGCCGGGCGGGTTAGTGCAGCACCTTCGCCCGACCGGGGGGTGCAGGGGTGCTGCCCCCCACCTCAGGGGACACATGCCCTGCACGCCGCCCCGTGCATACACACCGCTTCCCTTAGCCGTGCTCTGGTTCTACCAAGTACTCACTTTTGCAGACGGGCTCGCTCTGGTTTAGCTGGAGTTCACAAGCTGTTCGAGGGCAGCAACCTCCGATGTGCGAGGGGACTTTTGCTCCTTCCTTCCTACCTCTCAGAGGCTGAGATGGATCCTCGGTGAGCCACTCACGTCTGTTAGGGTCTGTGCAGACAAAGGAGGATAAATTTGCAAATACTTGCTGTGTCAAAGCTCTAATTTGGAATAATTATTTTTGAATTTCTCTCTATTTGTTTAACCTCTGGCCCATTTCTGATTTTTTTTTTTATTTTTTATTTTTAACCTTGCTAGAACCAGGGAAGTATGTTTTTTTTGTTTTTGTTTTTGTTTTTTTTCCCTCTTCTCCATCCCCCCATGTAAGATTTTGGCCACTTGTTTCAAATCTCATATATCTCCTCTCCAGATTTTACCTTAAGGAGTCTTTAAGATTGCAGGCGAAGTCTGAGTCTCGCTCCTGCCTGTTGGAGTGGCCGGACGTGGTCTGGAATAAAGGAGCTGGGCTTTATAAAGCCCACACCGCTCCAGCTCCTCTTGCTCAGGCTGCGCAAACTTCCCTATCAGCAGAGGTGGCCGATTCTGGGGGCCCAGAGGCAACGGGGACGTACCAAACTGTTGGTTATTGTCTTAGCCAGGGTCCTCCAGGGAAACAGAACCAAGGGGTGCTCAGGCGATTATGGGGTCTGATGGTCTGAAGTGTGCGGGGTGGGCCGGAGGCTGAATTTCTTCCCCCGGAGGGAGGGAGCCCTTTGCGTTGGCTCTTCGGGCGTCCAGCTGATGGGCCGAAGCCCATGCACATCATCCAGGTAGCGTGCTCTAGCCCGGGAGAGCCGGATGCAGGTGTTAGCCACCTGCCGAGTGCCTTCCCGTGACACAGGAGCGTTTGACCGAATCGCTGGGCGCACCGGCCACACTGACATGGAACAGAAGGCAGAGCAGCACAGTCTCGGGGTGAGAAAGCTCCAGATGCTGTCACTCCCCAGCTGATGGGTGAGCGTGCTTGCCTGTCCGTCCCCCGTGGGGTGGTGGAGTCAGCGTCACCCCTGGGGCCTTGCTCTTCTGGCACCATTTACCCCAAAGGGAACTGTGGTTCGTGCCCAAGTTTAAACAGACCTTAACATTTTTATTTAGAAAACCGAGAGTGGATGACCTCCGTTGATGCTCGTCATTCTTCACGTTCGATGGGTGTGGCACGGGCTTGCGTCACTAAAGCAGCCTCTCCTACACTCGCTACCAGTGTGCCTCTCGAGATTTATGTCGTTCCGTGAAGCCGGTCCACGTCCGTGTGGGGGTGCAGGGCTGGGCTCTGTGACACCTCTGAGAGCTGAGGCCCACCACACTCCCAGGAGGCCTCCCTGGTGACCGCCCACGGACACCTGCTGGCCACTTGTCTGGGGTGGGACCCACCCCCACCCCCACCCCCACCCCCTGCCGGCTCACACAGCATCCCTCAGGTGTCCAGGGGAGCCAGGCGTGGGAACACAGGCCTTCTGCCCTGGCGCCCACGTTGGAGCAGAGCGCATCACTGCCAGGGATCCGATATCCCTCAGGGGCCTCTGGGGGATGTACACGGGGCTCCAGCCTATAGATTTTAAGATCTATAAGATCTATATAAGGTCTATTTAAGATCTATAAGATTTTAAGATTTTGCAAACCTCAGCCCCTCCTTTCCCACGACCCCTCCATTCCAGGCGGTCCCTGTAGATGCCGTGACAAGTCATGTCAAGTTAGGGGAATGCCAGGCTTGGTGAATCTCTCCAGCGACGTTGGGATGATGGGTACCCGGGGGAACATAGGACGTCATCTGCTTCTGGTTTGGACGCTGAACAGTCAGGTTTCACAAAACAGCAGCCCTGTTCTGAGAGCCTCAGTGGGGATGGAAGCACAGAACACAGCCCGTGACCGGCCCCGTCCATGTGGGGTGCAGGAGCAGACCTTAGCCTGTGGGACAGACCACGGCCGGCAGGACGGTCTCAAGTCAGTGTGGTACACAGCTCTTTCCACTTCACTGATTTAACTCACAGGCTGCAAGTCCCTGATGGTTCCTCTGAATCTGGCAAGAATTTGAATTTTAGTCATTTTAAAGTACAATTTCATTTAGAGTTTTTTTTAATTTTTAATTAAAGAGAGCATGCATGCTACTCAGTGGGCAGGGGCAGGGAGAGAGGGAGAGAGACTCTCCAGCAGACGCCCTGCTGAGCATGGAGCCCGACGCAGGGCTCGATCCCACGACCTTGAGATCACGACCTGAGCCAAAACCAAGAGTCAGACACTTAACTGGCTGAGCTACCCAGGCGCCCCAAGTGTGGTTGCTTGCTTGCAAACATGCAGATTTCCTTTTTAGAGAATTTTGAGCACAGCCACCTCCTGCCTCTCTGGCTTCCCTCTGAATCTGGTGCAAGCCCATGCTTCTCAACAGCCAGCTGCTGAGCCCCGCAGGGCGGGCTGGTCTGCCCCATTGCACACCACCTTGTGCTGGAAACAGACGGTCTCCCAGCTCTGGAGGCCAGAAGGTTGAGGTCAAGGTATGGGCAGGGCTGGTTCCTCCTGCCGGCGAGGACGGAGGATCTGCTCCATGCTCTCCCCAGGTTTCTGGTGTTTGCCGGCATCCTTGACTTTCCTTGGCTTATAAAAGCGTGACCCCCCCATATAAGAACACGGTCATATTGGTGCAGCGCCTGCCCTAATTCACGGTAGATGAATCACCTCAGTGAAGACCCTGTCTGTAAAATAAGGTCACATTCTGAGCTACTGGGGCTCAGGACCCCAACGTAGGAATGCTGGAGGGGCATGATCCAACCCACACCCCACCCCTGCTCACACCGCAGACCCCAGACCCACACTTGGTGCAGGGCCACCTGGTATGGGGTCTTCCAGGACAGCACCTGTTCCTGTTGGGCTTCCAGGTCCTGGAGCCTCCAGCTGACCCGGGGATAGGCCGGTCTGCCCCCCCTCAGGCTTCTAGCCCCCTGGGGACACTGGGGCATGGGGTCAGAGCACCTCAGGTTAACCAAATAGACCCTGCCTTCCTCTTCTCTGTTCTAGTGAGAGCCCACATTTATCTGCCCTTCAGGGACCCCAAGCTTAACCTAAAGTTGGTTCCTGTAGATCAGAAACACCTCCTTGGCCCCAGTGACCCGAGGTGGCCTTCAGGCTGGGGCCCCTCACTGTGCCCAGAGCATCCATCCGCCGGGAACTTAGCTGGTGGGTCCGGCTGCATCCAGCCCCCTGGCCAGACTGCACAGTCAAATCCAGCTGTTAGTGGTGATGGGCGTCGTGATAGGCCGCATCTCATGGGGATTTGAACAGCTCCGGGAACGGTCAGGGCCCCCAGAAGTGGCACAGCAGCCCTGTGGCCAGAGCAGAGCCACCTACACGTTTACACTCCCCTTCCTGCTGTCCTGGAGACCCCAGCACACAGCCTCTCCGCACGAGCTAACCGTACACGTATCCTCATGATTCTTCAGAATAGGCTGTTTGATTATATCCAAAGAGAAAATTAAAAAAAAAAAAAAAAAAGGATCTTTTCAGTAGCATTGACCAGATGATAGTCAGCCTCTGCCTCGGGGCTCGAGCTCTGCTCTGCAGCTGAGCCTGGACAGAACACGTGGGAAGTTCATCCTCAGCGCCCCGTCCAGTGAGCAGCCTCTTAAAATCACGGGGTGTGCTGCTTTTCAGGTTTTTTAAAAAATATTGTATTTATTCATGAGAGACACAGAGAGAGGCAGAGACACAGGCAGTGGGAGAAGCAGGCTGGATGCAGGGAGCCCGATGCGGGACTCGATCCGAGGACCCCGGGGTCACGCCCTGAGCTGAAGGCAGACGCTCGACCACTGAGCCACCGGGTGCCTCTGCTTTTCAGTGTTGATTGTTCAGAGGTACACAGACAGGGCCAGGCCCAATCCCGCCACCGTCCGCACACGTTTCGTGCGGAAGAGCCAGCAGATGCTCTTCGTTATCCCCTCTGAATAAACACGATGGCTCCTGGTGTAGCTCCTGGCTCCTGAAGTATTCGTTGGCCCTATGGTGACGATAAGGAATTGTCAAATAGCCATAAAGCTCCTCACTCAGATGGTCAGACTTCCTTCTTCCAAAGCCCGCAGCACCTCCACGCAAATGTAACGACCTCCGGGCTGGCTGGAAAGGCCCCCAGACCCTGCTGGGGTGTTAAGAGCACGACCATCTTTCCTGGGGCACAGAGCCCTTCAGCGTTTCTGCCCTTTCCAAAGAAGGGGTGCGGTGGGGGACCCGAGGTGGGGACAGTCTGTTGCCATCTGCCTCGACTAGGAAGTCAGCCATAGAGCTCTCTGCCCGGGGATGCTCTCCAGCTCTCTGCTTCTCAGGCAAAGTCTTGTCCTTTTGAAAACTCTGGTGTGTGGTGTCCGGGCCCGATTCCCCCCGCTTTTGCCCGTGGGCAGGGTGACAGCACAGTGAAGTAAGAAACTGCTCTTGGCAGAGGCCCCCAAACTTCCCCGGGTCTTTTCACCTTGGCCTCACGGTCCCGGGGTTTTCCTCCGCGGCCCACCTGACCAGCCCCCCTGTACTTTCCTCTTGCAGGAGGCATTTTAAGGAAAGGCGCGAAGCTGTTCTTCCGCCGGCGGCATCAGCAGAAGGACCCTGGCATGAGCCAGTCGCACAATGACCTCGTGTTCCTGCAGCAGCCGGAGGGAGCCCGGAGGAAGGGGGTGACGCTCACCAGGATCCTGAACAGGAAGCTGCTCTCCAGGCACAGAAGCAAGAGCGCCGTGAACGGGGCCCCGGTGGACCACGAGGCCGGCGGCCTGCTGCACCCGGATGCTGGAAGGCGCGGGCCCACCTAGCCGCCCGCCGGCCTGCCGGCCCTAGCTGGGGTTCCCCCGACAAGTTCATCTCCTAGAGGGGAATGAGAACCTGAGTCTCGGGCCAGGAGGTTCCCCCCAGAGAAAACTGACAAAGGCCGCTTTGCCACCCGATGCCAAAGGAGACCCGAAGGCGCTGCCCCGTGGGCTGTGCTCACATCTCAGAGCTCAAGTCAAATGTTAGAAAAAGATTTACGTTATGAACTAAAGAACATCCCGTGATGGACGGTGATGGGGCAGGTTTGGGGGACTCGATGGGACCCACCCAGTGCTCGGACACCTGTTACCGTGGGTCCGCGCCTGGACCGCGTCGCAAGGCTGGGGTGGGTGTCCCTCTGTGCTGTCGCTGTGAACGCAACGGGTGGGTCACCTGTCCTCACCGGCTGCTCGGAATAGGGGTGCAGCTGGCTCTGAGTACAGAGAGGTGGGACACAGGATTTGGGGTCGATGGAGAAATTATGGTGGTAACGGAGACGGTGTGACTGAGGTAGGACGATGGTTGCCTTCGACATTAGCCATATAACTTGAAACCGTATGCAAACACTAAATCTATGCTGTGCACACTACGCTGAGCGCTCTGTACGTTTACTTTGAGCCTGTTTGCAAGTGGGAGCTCTATCACTTCCTCTGTGCTTTTAACATTTTTCTCTACAGCGTCAGAAGCGCCTCATGATCCCAGTGGAGCCGTCGACACGGGGCTTCCCCCCCCAACCCCCCGCTGGCATACTCAAGTGTGCAGGGGGCCTCCCAAGTACAGCTAGGAGCAGTAAGTGACAGCCCAGCACGGCGACCATGCGCACGCACACACACACACACACACACACACACACACACACGGGTTTCCTTTAGGACACGGCTGGTTTGCCAAACGTTGCGAGCGGCCGAAACAAAGTACACTGAGGACAAAAGAGAAAATTAGCGGAGGTCTGGAGGTCTCAGGTACGAGGTGTGAGCCTTAGGGATGGGCCAAGCTTTGCATCACACTCCTTTAGGGGGCTCTGGAGAATTCTGCTGTGTCCCAGGGGGCTTGACACGTCTTGGGGTGTCCTTGCCTTGCTTGCCCGTGGGGACAGGAAAAAGAAAAACGTGGCCCGCTGCATGCCCATCCGCGTGCCCTTCACACCACGTTCCTGGTCCACCCGCCTCTCCGTGTGTGCCCGTGCCGCCCGGAGGCCCCGCCTCGAGGGCCGTGGTCGTTCGTGTGAAAAGTTTTGATGCTTTACCAAGAGTCACTTTTTCCCAGGAAGATTTGAAAGCCCGTTATGAAGCCTGACTTCTATCACGGACACGGAATCCGGGGAGCTCCTTCCCACAAGCATGTTTGTCGACCCTTAAATTATCTATTTCGGGGGCCGTGGAGCCACTGCCAAACAAAAACCTTCATGCAAACAGAATCCCCCTCACCCCTTCATCTTGAGGGAACAAATTCTCAGACGACATTAAGAATCTCACTTTGCAAGACACGTTTAGAAATCCCTTGGCGTCCCCGGAATTACCAGGTGATGGTAATTCCGTAAAAACCTGTTTTTACGGTGGACGTCCTGAGTTTCGTCAGTGTGACACCGCACCGGGCATTCCGACATCTAATAACCACGTCAGTCCCTGCGGGTTCGTAGTCACTACTAGTCTTTTTTGGAACACATCTGGTCACTCCTATTTTACCGGGAGGATTGCTGCCCTTGGGACACTGGAGAATTAATTCTACGGGGATGTGGGGCGTCAGAATTTCAGGCACCTGAGCAGGACTAATTCTTAGCACAGTCTTTTGCTTGACTGTGACGTTTGGATCAACTCGATTTACTCAATGTGACGATATCAGGGTTTTACTTGGGAGCTCTCTCACTCTCAAAAATAATAATAATAATAATAATAATAATAATGTCTCCGCCATTCCCATTTCCAACGGGCCCCGTGAGCCTTTTGCTCCCTGCTGGATGCTTTGGTCAAGGGCTCTTGCTATCTCAACTTCCCGATGACCTGAGGCCTCATCCGGGTCCCGTGCAAGCGGCAGGTGGGCTGAGTGTCCCGCGTGCAAGAGCCAGAGGCGTCAAGGAGATCGTGTTTCTGTGCATCTGTCGGGCACACGTCGGCAGCTCTGTACCTTTGCGTAGGACCCCGGAGCCCCTCCTCGAGATGCACACACACGTTTTCTCCATCTGGGGGCCTCTTCTGAAGTCAGCGGACGGGGACGAAGCAGGGAGCTCACGAGCTGAGCATGAAGGGTGCGTGCACGCGGCACCGAGAGATCACGGGCCTGCGGATCCTGCGAGTGCCGCCCTCCTGGCCGTTGACCCCGACCGGTGCCTGTGCGGTTGGGGGTCTCCGCGGCAAGGACACGTCACGATCCACCAGATGCCACGCACGCCAGCCTGCAGATCACCTCATTCCCTTGCCTTTCCGTGTGTGTGAGTGGCCGCGGGGCTTTTTTTGTTTCGCCGTCACGATATTTTTGCAGGGCAGTGTTGCAAAGTGAGGTCTCCCGAACGCTAATAGGAGCGTGTGTCTGTCTGCGCGGCTGGGACCGGGCCTCACGTGGGCGGTCGCGAGCTCTGTGTTCAAGGACGTGCCTGGGTTCTTTGCAGAGAAAGTTGAGGGAGCTTCAAGGGTGTGTGTGTGTCATTAACGTAGCAATAAAAAGCACTGATCTCCTTGTCCCTCCTTGTCCCGTTGGAAACCCGCTGTGAAGAAGGAGGTTTAGACGAGCACTTTATTTAAATCAACTCTCAAGCGTAAGCTGCAAGCCGGCCCTTGATCCCATGCCCCATAGCTCCTTGTCCACCAGTCACGAATTTGGTGCCTGTTTAGGGTTTTGATGGGTTTTACCAGCTGCGTCTATAGAAGAGAGTTGCAGATTTTCTTCTCCAGCAGAAAGTGACAACTTATGTCGCTGCCACCAGTTGCAGGGCTTTTCCCAGGAATAGGCCCATAGCTCCCGGTCTTGATAGCTCAGAGCACAGGCTGGGGGCCGCTGGGTGCGATGCCGGTCTCGCGCGGGCGTGGGCTCGGTGCCAGGCCCTCCGTCCGCTGCCTTGCACCTGCTCAGGCCCCACTACCAAAGTGGCATGGACACACTGGCGCCGCTGTGTTCTTGCAAGGCAAACTCAGGTCCCCTCCGGGCCGTTCCTTTCAGCATCCCTGTTGTACGTGGGAGGGGGCATCAGGAAAACCTCGACCCGCTCAGGTCACCCGGCTTCCCACTGACAGATTAGCCTCGTAGGGTTTCCCTCCCTTGCCTCCCAATGTCACTTCAAAGCTACATTTAAAAAAAAAAAAAAAAAAAAAAGGAAAGGGTTTCCTGGGTATGGGGGCAGGTCTGGCCTGACGATCGGGTGTGGTGACGAACGTGCCGGACAGCGATCATATTGCTTGGTAGCACTTTAAACACAGATCCCGCTCCTATACTAAACTGTGGAAGATGTGGCCGCCACGGGAACGGTCTTTGAAAGAAATAAACGTGCACGTGGAACACGAAACACCGAGTTGTGTCTGCTGAGCCCCGGGGTCCTGGGTCACCTTCCGTCTGCTGCGTGAGGCTCGGCGGCCCGGGTGCCGCCCATGTGGCTGCTGCTGCTTGCCTCGTTCCTGGCAGAGGCCCTTCCTATCGTTGTCCCGACTCGACGCTGGCATCCTGTCGCAGGCCTGGGGAAAGTCAACGTTTCCAGTGACCCCTGGGGTCATGGTGGGTGGAGGGTGCTACCCGCCAGCGTCTGCGTGGCCCGGGTCCTCCAGCGGTGCGCAAGCTGGCACGAGGCGACTCTGCATGGTCCCCAGGCACCTTCTGACGGCCTCTCTCCCCGTGGTCAATGCCCGCCCCGTGTGGAGCAGGCTCCTGTGTGGGGCAGGTGTCACAGCAGCACGGGGCTCGCGGTGGCTCCTGGGGGGGACGCAGCAGCTGGCTCTGGAGCTGGGCACGGCCAGGCAGATGGACAGGTCCCGCACAAACCCTGCAGGCATCTCAGCTCCTTCCTGGGGGGTCCTTCCCAGGGGTCTGTGTCTCTGCTTCTCCCTCCTCCCTCTCTGAGCCCAGGCACTACAGCAGTTGTGGAAGTGGTGATCTGGGTCCACTCTGCGTGGAGGCCGCAGGAGACCAGCTGGGCTCGCTGCAAAGCCAGCCTTGTCCCAATTTACCAGCTGTCTTAACCGGATCTCCTGCCCGTCACCTCGAGGCACACACCATACTCTTACCAACCCCAACCGCACTGTCCGTATTTTTTTTTTTATTTCAGAGCGAGAAGAGAGAAAGTGCATTGAGTGGGGGGAAGTGGCAGAGGGAGGGAGAGAGAAAATCTGAAGCAGGCTGCACGCCCCGTGTGAGGCCCGACATGGGGCTCGAGCTCACAATCCCAAGATTGTGTGTGACCTGAGCAGAAAAGAAGAGTCGGACGCTCAACCCCCAGAGCCCCCCAGGTGGCCCTCACTGCGAATGGACACCCCTCGTCCCCAGCACGTGCCGCTCCCCGTCCGACGACCTAACCAAACACAAGCCCGCCGTTTCCAGGAAGTAGCTCCGGCCACCACGGACGGACGGCCCAGAGCACAGGGCGCTTCTTTCAATCCCTGTCACTTGCCTCCGTATCTGTCCCTCTCACGCTGGCTCCTAGGCAGGCGGTGCATCCATCCCTCGGGCTTGGGACAGTGGGCACATAGTGACCGGTATCAGCTGACAGCCCTAGAGGAACACATCCGGGAAGTTCGCTGATGTCCGCTTTTCCCCACTCATCGGAGCCCGGGGTCGGGGGACAGAGCCCGCCGTGGCGGGGATGCCTGTGACACAACCGCACTATCGTTTACCTTGCTCGCCCCTACAAATAGTGTCGATGTCAGTGCATCGTGCGTAGAAAAGGCAGGATGCTCACCAGGGAGGTCTGGATCCCAGGATGGATGACTCAGCACAGTGTCCTCGCTGAAGGGGAAGATGCCAGACCAGACCCTCCTCCCACGGTGCCCTAGAAGCACCAATTTCACACACTGCCCCCCTGCGCCCCCTGCTCCAACTGCCACTGGCACAATGCAAATCGTACCACACCGTCCTCCTGCCTGTGCCAAGCATTCAAAACTACTGATTATACGAATATCAATATTTATAAAGTGGGAGGCTTAGGTGCCTTGGGCTACTTGGTATTTTATACAAAAGCTACATAAAGATTGTCGCAGGGATGGTCGCGAATGCGAACTGAGCACTTAACTATGTGCCAGAATTTTTTTCAGAGTTTTACATCTACTGACTCATACATTCTTCAAAATAATCCCATGATGGGGACACCTGGGTGGCTCAGTGGTTGAGCATCTGCCTTTGGCTCAGGGCGTGATCCCAGAGTCCCGGGATCAAGTCCCACACTGGGCTCTTTGCATGGAGCCTGCTTCTCCATCTGCCTGTGTCTCCGCCTCTCTCTCTCTCTCTCATGAATAAATAAAATCTAAAAAAAAAAGAACATGAAATAATCCCATGAGATGAGGAAGCTGAGGCACACAGAGGTGAAGTAACTTGCCCAAGATTACACAGTGGGTAAGTAGCACAACCAGAGTTGACCCCAGGCTGTCCTGCTGAAGAATCCCTGCTCCGAGCCACGGGCCTCTGCTACCTTCCATCAAATGGAGAGACCAGGACATCATCTTTTCTAAACTTTCAGCCCCCCATTATGGGAGAGAATGCTGTTACAAAGCGAGATGCAATGCTTTGCACATTTTGAGAAATTATTTGTTGCTCGGATCTGGACAAGAAAAATTAGCCAGATCACAAAGCCAGAGGTGGTGTAGAGAAGTGGCTTCGGATATATATATATATATTAAAATATAAATAAAATAAAAAATATATATAAAATATATATAAAAAATATATATTTTTTTATGACATCCGGTACAAAAAGGAGTCAATTAACAGAAAACCAGAGCTGATGAGCCATGTTAGTTAGAAATCGCACGTCTGAGGCAACCAGGGACAGGGCTGAGCGCATCATCCCCGGTGTGGGGCCACACGGTATCGCGAAGACACCTTAATGCCACCGCTAGTGGCTGCTTGGGAGGAACAGCGCTCGTAGGAAAATCCACTCAGTAATGGAAACTCTTCTGCTTATTCATTTTTAATTCCCCAACTTTTAAAAATTTTAAACCTACAGAATAACCCACATAGACTTCAACGAGATTCACCGGTTTTGGTATATTTGCTTTACCTACCCACCATCCATTGATCAATTGATTCATTGTTGTTTGGAGACATCGTGTGTCACCCAGAATTCTTCAGAATGCGTTTCCTAAGGAGGATGGCGTCTTCACATCACATCCTCAATGGTTATCGTGCTTGGGAAGCAGGACGTAGATGCGAAACTACTATCCAGTGTCAGAGGCCCCATTCAGATCTCCCCCACTGCCCAAGAACATCCTTTATAGGTTTTTCTTTCTTTTTCTTTTTCTGCTTCGGGTTCAGGCAAGGTTTCTACATTGCTTTGGTTGATAATAAAAATTGGACACTTTCAGAAATAAGACTCTTTAAAAAAAAATCTTTAAGTTTGGGTAAGTCAGAGAAAGACAAAAACCATATGATTTCACTCATATGTGGAATTTAAGAAAGAAAACATGAACATAGAGGAAGGGAGGGAAAATTAGGTGAAAATTGAGAGGAAGACACACCGTAAGAGACGCTGAACTCTAGGAAACAAACAGGGTCGCTGTGGGGGCGGGGAGGGGTGAGTAACTGGGTGATGGGCATGAAGGAGGGCACTTGATACAATGAGCACTGGGTGTTGTATGCAACTGATGAATCACTATATTCTACCTCTGAGACTAATAAAAAAGTTAAAAAATAAAATTTTGGACATAAATCTACCTTAAGACAAATTATTTCCAGCCTTCATAGAAGGAATATATTAAACACATTGGGAATTCTTTTGAAGATGCAAAGAGCATCGTGAATATGAATCCCAGCCCTGTGCTGCATGTACTGATGAGAAATGGAGTTAGGTGGCCTCAGGTCTTCCACTTTTACAGGTTTTCTTTTTTTTTTTTAATTTTTATTTATTTATGATAGTCACAGAGAGAGAGAGAGAGAGAGAGAGAGGCAGAGACAAAGGCAGAGGGAGAAGCAGGTTCCATGCACCGGGAGCCTGATGTGGGATTCGATCCCGGGTCTCCAGGATCGCGCCCTGGGCCAAAGGCAGGCGCCAAACCGCTGCGCCACCCAGGGATCCCACAGGTTTTCACTCTTGGTTTAACCTGCCAATTTTTTTCTGCAAACAATCTGCTTTTGTTCACGCGTGCCAGTACCTCTGGTGTGCAGAGGCCCAGAGAACCAGCCACCTTTGAGAATTGTGAGTGGTCACTGGCGGGGGCGGAGGGGGGTGTGTGGGAGGTAGGTGAGGGGTGCACATTAGCTGTAGGAATCAGTCTGGGGCTCTTGGGGATTGAGCAGAGACCTGAATGCTGAAAAGATGCGGGTGGAAAACCTTAGGAAAGCACTGCAAGGTAGAGGATCTGTGCAAAAGATCTTGAGGACGTGTGTGAGGGACAGAAGGCTGGAGGGAGACTGGGGTCCCCCAGCTGGGTGGGGTATGAGCGGGGTAAAGGTGAGGTGATCAAGACCATAGGAGATCGTGGAGCAGACCTACCGCAAGTGCCGCTGGGAAGTCGCCCTGGGGAGGGCAGCATGCCCCCTCTGCACCTGCTCAACCTTCAAACCCATGGTGGAGGCCTTTTGATGGGTCCTTATTACTGACCTTGGACACACGCCAATCCGTACAAGTAAGTCTGACCGTAGAATAAAGTCCCGATCGATCGTGGGACTGCCGGGCCCCAGGCCCTATGCATTTAGAATTTCTATATTAACAAATGGCCCAGATGGGGGCTATCCTCAATTATTCTCCCACCAGGAAAGGATGAAACAGCTTATTTTCTACAATCTTCAAGATAATGCTATTAAGCTTAAAAAAAAAAAACTTTGCTAATGTAGCAGGTAAAGACGATTGCACTGCAATTTTGCTTTTTCTCTCATGACCCTTTATAGCTGAGTAGCTTTGCTTATGCTTAAAAGCCCTTGTCTTTCCCTTGCTGGGGACTTTCCATTTTCTATGCGGTTCTCTATCTTTTTCCTCTTGATTCCTAGGAGCTTCCCCTGTAGGAAGGAAATGAGTCCTTTCTGACATCAATTTCCAATCACTTCCCGTCAGTGCATCCCCTCTTGGACTTTAGTGGGGGAGCTTTCTGCCTGAGTGCTGAAAAGATGCGGCTGGAGAACCTTAGGAAAGAAAACAGAACAGCAGAACAAAGAGAACAGTTCTCCGGCCCTGCCCCCCACACTAAAGGACCCCTCTAGCCCCTTCTATTTGTAAGTTTGTGGGTTCAGGTACATTTGACGCAGGGGGTCAAGAGGCCACACAGGCCACCAGGACCTGGGGTGTGGGAGGGGCAGAGACACCTCCAGGGAGCAGCCTGGCCTTCAGAGCCACCCTAACCGGGGCAATGCTTTTCTGGAACTTTCCAC